TTCTGGCTTCACTGGAAGCTTGTTTTATAATGAAACAGCTCCTTGAGCTGCTGGAAAGCTTTCTATTCTGCTAGTACTCAGGACTAGGTGAACGTAGGTCTCTGTGGAAAGCCTTTGAGTGATCCTCTGATCTTCTTGTCCTGAGTCTTTCCCGAAGCCTGCCCTGAAGCCTGTCTGCTGTGGAGGGAGAATCTGGAGGCGGTTCAGGTGTTTCTGATCTCTCCACATTCTCTTCAGCCACAGTTAACCCTTCTGGGTCCAGGTCTTCAGAAGCACTCATGACACTTAACGACTATACAACAACGACTATACAACAATTTTTCAGTGGTGGGAGCCAGGCTTTGTTGAGTTTTAGACTTTCTTCTTTTTTGTTGAAGTTGTGCTGGTGTTTGTGGGTTTCAATGGCTTCCCTGTGTAGTCTAACATAATTTGAATTCTATTTCAAAAAACAGAAGCACTGGACAACACCAGCAATCATTATGTTACAAGGTTGCTAAGATGGGCGGCATATAAATGCAATAAATAAATAAATTTATGAGTTTGTGCTCCTAGCTATTATAAACTAAATCCCTTGGCAGCCAAAAATTATGATCCGTGCCAAAAATCCTTGAGGCAAAATTTTTTTAAGTTTCTGATCTAGGCAATTAAATGATATTTGCTATGAGCCTTGACTGAGAAGTTGTAAAATAACTAGGCAGACACTTTTTTTGTGTTCTTTTTAACAATGAATAGCACTGTCATAGCAAATAAATGGTTGTCCTCTCAAAGAGAAGCATCAAAGTATAAGTGTACAGTTTGAACTTGACAGCTATGAAGGACAAACTTTGAGTGGTATAACTAGAAAATTTGTGCTGAGGACTTCATCACTCTGTTGGTTATGTTTGTGTTGTATAAGATTGACTTGTAAAGGAAAGGATGGAGGAATAGAAGCAAAGGCCTGTGTAGGAGTGTGTGACAACGATATTGGTCCCATGCTGATCCTGCTTGTTTTGTGTTTTCTTCTGCCTAGGAAAGATCAACTGGAGGTCATATATGAGCTCAGCAACAATATAAATGGGATGGCTAATGCCTTTTCAACAGCACATCCGTGTATCTTCTAAATTTCTGTAGTCTGGGTCAAAGCCCCAGTTGCCCTGCTTTAGTAACAGGTCTGTGGGGTAATCAGCATTAGCTGTTGAAAATAAGGTTTAATGGTTTCTAGTAAACACTAAAAAATGCAGAGTGTTCTATCCAGTATGGAGACAATTCTGAGTAAATACTTGAATTTCAAAATTTAAGAAAGTTTTTTCCCCCCTGCTTTTCTTGTTGTAATTTTCTTAAGGGCTACTTCAAGTGAAACATAGAGCCTCATTTGAAAGTCTAAAGAGCCTTTTTCTTCTGTTCTATTCCCAGCCATCATGCAGCCACCATAACTTCAATGCTAAGGCAGGTCCATTCCCCACTGCCTGCTTTTATTAACATTTTGCCTCATTAAGCTATTTACTTGGAAAGCATTTATGTGTTTCTGTGCCATTTTTGGCTGGCACGCATTAAAAAAAATACACATTGTCTTATTATGGACTTCAACACATTAATTTCATCCCTATAAGTCTTACTGAAATGATTGCCACAAATAAAAGTCCTCATTTTAATTGGAAGGAGGTTTCTATTAATGGGACGGTGCCCAGAGATGTTGAGTGTTTTGTGAAACGATTTATAAAAATAGATGAAGCTAATTGGTTTCAAAACACAGATTATGTAGAAGTTTCATGTCTTCATTCTAAATATCTTCACTTGAAATATCCCACTTGAGACTCACTTCTAAGTAGGTTTGTTCAGAATCACAGCATCTATATTGTCAGCGTAATCTGATGATCTGCTTAATGTATCAGGAATTGTTGTGCTTCCTCGGTGGAGTTTTCTTTTGACAGATTTCTGGTGCTATTTGTGATGCCAGATTAGTTCTTTGCTCAGAGCTGCAGCAGAGATGCATACAAATGATTAACGCCTTTCCTTTTTTGTGTTATTTTTGTTTCCTGAAGGGGAACTTTACTTCATGTCAACAGGAATACCAAGTGCCACTTCTCCTAATGGAGTAGTTTACAAAATAATTGACACTTCACGGTAAGTCTTGGGGCAATTTTGCTCCCTAAGTATTTGAAATCCCTGATATGGGGGAGAGGAAAAAACAGCCTTTGGGCTTAGATCTCTGGGTGGTGGTGGTGGTGGTGGTGGTAGTGGTAGTAGTGGTGGTGGTGGTAGTAGTAGTAGTAGTAGTAGTAGTAGTAGTAGTAGTAGTAGTAGTAATAGCAGTAGTAATTACTAATATTTCACTGGAGAACAAAGAATATTGAACATTTGCACAGGTTTTAGACCTGTTGAAAACTCTCTGTCTCCAAGATGTTTTGGGAAACAGCCCTTTTCTCTTACTCCATTTTCAGCTGTCACACAGTCACAATAATTTGGAATGGGGGAGTCATATTGTTACTTTACAAACATAAAATGTATTGGCTTGAATCCAGGCATTATTCCCAACTACAGTAGACCCACTGAATCAGTGAGATTTACTAAAGTGTTAGATCAGCAATTTTATTCAGCAACTTCAGTGGTGTTCCTCTATTTAGGATTAACAGATGCTTTCGGGCCATTATAAATAAGGGTACATCCAGACAGGGGAAGTTGGAGTGGTTTGGTTCGTGCTTTAAAATTTCTTATTTTTAGTGTAACATATTTTATCTCTCACATGGGCGCTCCTTCTGTTTACACTAACCAATGTTTCTTCTCCTGTAAGAAGGGTCCAGAAAAATCTTTGAACTGCTCCAATTTGTTGCTCTTCTGATTAATGATTCCCCTCTTCCTGTCTTCCTGCAGCCATCATTCAGCATGTCGGTGGCAACTTTCCTTTTCTTGTTGTTAGATAAAGTGACATAGCACGACAGCAGCGCCTCTACCAAATATGGTACACATTGTACCACAAGAGTATCTCCTTTGTCTAGAATAATGCTGCAGCAATAGGAAAATACTTTTAAAATTTTGAAACAGACTAGATGAAAATAATGGGCTCCTCCCCCCCCACATTATCCCTTTTGGTGCCACAACCCACCGAATATGTCACAGGGTTGTCACCTCAGATACCATCACCCAGAGCTTTATCAGGAAAATACTTTTAAAATTTTGAAACAGAGTAGATAAAAATAAAGGGCTCCCCCCCCCGCATTATCCCTTTCAGTGTCACAACCCACTGAATATGTCACAGGGTTGTCACCTCAGATGCCATCACCCAGAGCTTTATTTGAATGCAAACTTAACCATCTGCACAGGGTGCAGAATGGGATGGATAATCATGAGTGCTCCAAATTGTGCCAAAACCTTGTAATTATTGCTCTGTGCCAAAAAGGAGTGGGACAGCACTAAAAATTGGTGGGATGGATAGAGATGTAAAATTTCCAGAAATTTTGAAGCCATATAAAACGGTTTTGGGGGAAAAACAGGGAAAAAACCCTGTTTTTCCCCCAGTTTTTCCATTTCCCCCCAAAACTATTTTATATGGCTTCAAAATTTCCATAAATTTTACATCTCTAGTCAGAACACATATGGACATCATAATTTGATTGAACCAAGCAGCAAAAAACAAACAAACAAACAAACAAAAACAGTCCAAATAGACAGCTATATGCTTGTGTGGACATGTCCTAACTTGGTGTGTTCCTAATATTACCATGTTTGGATATATCAAAGAAAATATTGTTCAGATAATAATTACAAAGGTATTCACTGAATTTGTTTTTATTTTTTGTTACACACAAAGCTACAACTACTGAACTCTAAGAAATCTAACATTTCTTAGCTTTTGTTACTTGATGACAGCAAACACAGGGTTAAAGTTGAAAACAGAAGAAATGATCAATAGTACACTTCACAAACAAGTTATTGTGTTTTCCGAACTTAGTTTCCTCTTTTGTGTGAAACAGACACAGAAAACGAACAGGGAAGCGGGAAAGCTCCCCCTATGTACTAAATACATTTTTTCTTTTATAAAACTGTGTGAAATAGTCTTAATCTCTGGGCTATCACTTACAGCAGTTAGCTACTATTTCTGTTCCTTCCTTGTTATCGTATTCACAGAACTGGAGGAGTATCTTACAGTATATTAAACAGTTGTCACACTAAAATGTAACATGTAACCATCCTTTTTAAAACTTGTGTAGCCTGCATAATTAAGTTGTAAATCACCCAGAGTGCTTTAAGGGCTATAGGGTGGTATATAAGCAGAAAACTGAAGTTTTTGTTTTTTGTTTTTGCTAACTTCTACTGTTTTGCAGAAAAGCAAAAGATCGGTGGAAAATTAGTTTCCAGTCTCTAAGGCATGGTGGCTTAATGGCTTCCAGTCAGAGATGCTGTAGAAATACATCTGCAGGGTTAGACTAGATGTTCTTTGAGTCATCCATCTCTTATGTGGGCTTGTGATTTTCTTTGTTTATTTTTTGGTCAGGAGAGCACCACCTGGAAAATGCCATGTAGACCCTCTACCAGTAAAAGTGAAAAGCAGGCTGATAAAGTTTGTTCACAAGGAAAGTAAGTACCGGAAATACATATTTACATTGGTGATTTCGGAGAACCAGAATACTGTTCATGCAATTTTAATGTATGTATGTTCCTGGTTTCAAGAAAATAGTGTGGGTGATTAGCGTACAAACCGGAGAGCTAGATTGGCAAGTCAGAAAAATATAGTTATACAGAAAACAAAACAAAAAACAAAAAGGCCATACTGTTTCTTCTTCAAGTTTGTGTGTTCAGATGGCAAGTCAAAGATGTTAAAATTTAAAACAGATGTTCTAAAAATAATAAAGAAGGAAGGACTGGGAGAAGATGGGGTCAAAGAACGAGAAATAAGCCCAGTCATGCCCCCTCACAGCCAAAGAATGGTGCAGTCTGATAAATAGACAGCAATGTGAAAGAGAAAGACCACGGCAGAGTTGAAATTTATATCAGTGGGAAGTGGAGCACCGTGCGTGATGACCTGTGGACCTCAAAAGCAGCTGCTGTCATCTTCTGCCAGTTGGGCTATGCTTTTGTGATCAGGGCAGCCAAGAAAGTAGAGTTTGGTGAGGGACATTCACTTCCCATTCTTCTTGATAATGTTCAGTGTAAGGGATATGAGAAGACCCTCCTGGAATGTCCTCAGGCAGACATGTTTTAAAAATAATACTCTTGGGTTTTAGAAATAAGGTGGTCACTCGTTATACGAGGCACCACTGTAATACTCTTGGTTTTAGAAATAAGGTGGTAAAAAAAAAAGATAGGGAAAGTAGTTTGGAATGTGGTATGGTAGAACAAACTGCCCTCTGAAAGTTGTCTTCTTGTTTTAAAAATCAAAAAGGACCAGTTCTCCTTTATTCCACCTCATAAATGTAAAGAGATTTTCGTGGGTTGCCATAGCAACTCCACTCCTTTTATGCATTAGCAAAAAGAATCGGCTCCAAGTGTTGATGATTCAGCCTCCAGTGAATGAAAGTTAACAGTGAGGAGTAGAGAGGAAACTATATCAAACCAGTCTGAAGTAAAAATGAGATCAACAGTGCGCCCACAAAAAATGGTTGGAGAAAAGGCTTTTAAGTGTTCTTTTGTAGATCTCCTAGACACTGATGATCTAATATGAAGTGGTTAAGAGACAAATATCTCCACCCATGAAAATTGACACCAGCATTGTAGTGGCAGTGCTGAAATACATCATACAGTTGTAAAATCTTTTACTCTTATGCTGCTTGTACCAGCTGAAAAGAGGTGGTAACAGATCTATGGAGTCTGTTCAGGGATAGAACTGGGTTTCTGTAGCCTGTTGGCATGCCCCGTCCCACATAACACTGGGTGAGGATGTGCAGCCCATAGCTCCTATCTGTTACTGTCCCAGAATATGTGAGAAGAAGGAGGAGGTGGGGCAGCAATGCCACCAGCATAGATGGCGCGGGCAGAAGTAGCCTTGGGGATGGGTAATGAACCATCAGCAGCTGACCAGCCCTACTGCCCAATGCTGTTCGGTTTGTTGTTACATGCCACCAAGTTGCTTCCAACATATAATAACCATAATGAGGTTGTTGTGATATATGAGATAGATGTTCAAGGAGCAGTTTAACATTTCCATCTTCCAGTGAGTTTCTGTGGTCAAGCAGGGATTTTTAGCCAGGTCTTGCACACATCATACCACCAGTGGTTTTCACACTTGCTGTTTGGTTTGTTCCTATTCAAACCAAATGGGAGCATGATCCTGGTCTGCTCAGTATCACTTGGATAACAGTGTCCCGAACTCAAGTGGAGTCTGGATCAGAGATCCCTCTACGGTGTATGTCTGTGTGCGTTCATACGACTCCGCCTCCCTCCGCCCAGCTTTCATCCTCCTCTGCATAGCCAAGCCCCTTTTGCACATGCAGGAGAAAAGTTGTGAGTGAGAGAGGTAGAGCCCCAGGCAGGGGGCCTGAAAATTAGAGTGTACATTGGTCTGGACACAAGCAAGGTCTGCTCTCAGAATTTGGAAATGTTTCCTTGCTGAACTACAAGCCCCAGATTCTTTCAGATTCTAGAAGTTATAGTCCAACATGGATAGTAACTTTCCCATTTTCTGTCCTATCACTTTTTCATGTGATTGTTAAAAACATTAGCACCCTTAGCTCTTCTAAGCAACTCCTGTTGGATTCCTACCAGCAAGGACTCAGTCCCACCCCCCCAAATAACGCTGTTTGGTGACCAGACCTTTAAAAGTGGGATAAGTGGAATGGACTTTAGAACCTTTACAGTTGTCTCCTTTTTTTTCCTGTTGTAGAGTTTATAATGAAAACGGCAACCCCGCGCCCTAAAGTAAAAGCCACGACTAGAACTCCGATCAGGAGCAGAACAACTGCACAGCCACCACCACCCAGCACAACTCCAGACTGGATGGAACAAATCTTGACCTTCCTAAGGAATCAGAACAGAGTTCAGATGACGACTGCAGCGCCAAAAACAAAAGCTCCAAAGCCTAGGAAAGATGGAAGGACTGGAAGAAGAAGGGGTCAGAGAAGGAGAAATAAGCCCAGCCATGCCCCTGCACAGCCACGGAACGGCGCAGTCCGACTAATGGACGGCAGCGTGAAAGGGAAAGACCGTGGCAGGGTTGAAATTTATATCAATGGGGAGTGGGGCACCGTGTGTGATGATCTGTGGACGTCAAAAGCAGCTGCTGTTGTCTGCCGCCAGTTGGGCTATGCCTTTGTGATCAGGGCAGTCAAGAAAGCAGAGTTTGGTGAAGGACGTTCACTTCCCATTCTTCTGGATGACGTTCAGTGTACGGGACATGAGAAGACCCTCCTGGAATGTCCTCATGCAGGCATTGGGAAGCACAATTGTTCACACAAAGAGGATGCAGGAGTAGTATGTAGCCATGAAGATGCTTTTTGAGACTGAACAGTAGGATGGCCCTGTGCCCCATTCTTAACAATACGAAACTTCCCTGTGCTCTAATGGGATTAACAAATTGGGATATAGGAATCATAATATGTCCATACCAGATGGGCACCAAAGGGATATATTGTATATAACCACATATGTGGTCAATGTTCCTTTGCCATTTTAGAGGGTTTTTTTCTCTTTGTTTCCATTATAAAGAACTGCATTGGATATAATGGATTAAAAATTAAATGCTGGGCAGAGATTTTATGCTGGTTTTATAATGCTTTAACTCTTTGACGTAAATGTGCATGTTTTGTCATCAATCTATATTTTAGGCAGTGACATAACTACTATAGAGACTGCAACACACATAAGACTGTTAAGTGAAAAAAGAAACCGAATGCACTCTTGTACATCTCTATTGAGACTTATCAGTGTTTATTACCAGGGAAATGAGTGTACGGTTCTTATTAATTAACCCTAAATATATTGCGGATGAGCAGTTAAAGTAAAATAGCCTAAGGCCAAACTAATTATCCAGAGAGTTGAGATGTGTAAGTAGCACAGTTAAATCACAGCCAGAAGGAAGATGCATTCTTCATTGGAATTTGATCAGAAGTTTCAGGGCTACCAATGAACAGATAAAAAGAAGCTGTAACAACTTTTAAAACAGAGATCTTTTCTTTATTTTATATGTTCAATTTTGGCCTTGAAAATTGTATCAGTCTATTAGTGTTTAGAAGACTGTCTGGGACACTTTCAGTTTAGTAGGCAAGACAGTATGAAGTGTTTTGAGGGTGGTTTGTTTGTTTTTGGTCTGTCTTTAAATGTGAGCTTAATGATTTCTGGTAAGTCCTGTATTTTGGGAAACTATGGAGATTTCTAAATTTTTCTTTCCCGTCTTTTAATTTTGGAGTGCCATTTTTTCCAGCCTGATGAACTGCTCATTGGACATTCAGCCACTTTAGCTCTTCCTAGAACAGAGATGTTGTAGTGGAAATTTTTTATTTCCCCTTGCTGGCAACAATGACTTCATCTAAGTAGCTGTCTATTGGGCAACTTCCATTAGAAAATAGGGTACTACATTGTACTGTAGAAACTACAATGTCTCAGGTCTCTTCTGTCGATCTACTAACAGAATTCTGTTTTGTTTTTTAAAAGGAGGGAATGCAGAAATTGTTCCTTCAGAAACAGAAGAGTCATTTTTAAAAAGTAACATTTCTTAGAACCCCAGCCCCCAACCAATATGGCCAATGCACAAGTTGGCTGACATATTATTGACAACGTAGTCCAAATATGCAATTTTTCTTCTTTGTGTTTGGTTAACGTTTGTCCCTGTCTTAAATCTGAGGAGGACCCAGCGTGCTAATCTGTGATATCTAGCCGTCTCTGCTAGATAATGGGTTCTTGAAAGATAAAAATATAAAGTAACCAAAACAATTATGCAAATACTTGATTCAAAATGGCAGGTAATGGGCCAATATTGCTGCATCACATTGTGCCTGCAATGCTGGCAGGAAAAAGAATGGCAAACTTTACATAATAGAGGGCAGCATGAATGTGGATTATACCAATGTCAGCAGTCAAGATGGTCAACAGACTATCATCTTGTGCTTACTACCATTCATGAAGAGACAGGAGGGGAAAATCCCAAAACTTATCCACTTCTCATCAAAACACAAAGCAATTGTCAGGATTCACAATTGGTATTGTCAGTATTCAGGGTGCCCTTTGCTATGTAACGCCTGCCATCCTTTTTCCTGCTAGTAATGAGGTCTTGTGCAGCAATATTGGGCCATTTTGGATCATGGCATTTGAATGCTGGCATTTTGAACCATGGACACAGCATCACAATATTCCATATTCGTAAACCAGAGGGTTTTTTTAAGGAACTGAATTTCCTGACTCTTGAAAACAGAACTATTTATGTGTGTGCCTGTGTGTGCCTGCGCACGCGCGCGCGCACACACATTCCAACAGCAATATTCCATATTCGTAAACCAGAGGGTTTTTTTAAGGAACTGAATTTCCTGACTCTTGAAAACAGAACTATTTATGTGTGTGCCTGTGTGTGCCTGCGCACGCGCGCGCGCACACACATTCCAACAGAAACTTCACTCATGTAGAATTACCCAGTGCTGGAGGCTCCCTGAAGATGAGCATATCATCTGTACTGTGATATTTCCTGACTCTTGAAAACAGAACTATTTCAGTGTGTGCCTGTGCACGTTCACGTGCACGCACGCACACACACAGACATTCCAACAGAAACTTCATTCATGTAGAATTACCCAGTGCTAGAGGCTCCCAGAAGATCAGCATATGATCTGTACTGTGGCTACTGGGAGAAGACAGAAATAAGAACAATTGGGATGTGGCTGCCGTCCCTCTGTGCCAAAATATTTTGAAGGGCTATTTTGGATTTAATGAAATGGTGAAGCAAATATATGAGTAAGTACAACACATATGCCCAGAAGCTACTGGTAATGGTGCGGCTAAAAAATATTGTAAATAAATAAATAAATTTTAAAAAGAAGAAGAAACATCCACACATTTTAAACTCTCAGATAAACTAAGGTTGCCATGCCCACTCTGCAGAATATAAAACTATGTCAGACAAATAGCAAAATGTTCCCCTTTCTGGAGAACTGTCACTCCATTACTTCCTTTAAAGCAAGCCTGCTTTTTTGATTCTTTAAAGAAAATCTGTCTTTTCACTGTTTCTGTGACCTTTAATTGCCCTAAGTATTTCAAATATTGCCATTCCCTGCCCATAAAGCTGCAACAATGTACATACTTTGCAGAGATGCTGGCAAACCTGTTCCACCCATGCTCTGTGTGATAAGAAAACATTGTTTCTCCCTTTTGAAAGGCCATTTTTGAGGAACAAAAGCCTGGATTGTTTCCAAATTTTAAAAAATGGTTGGTGGAACCAACCATTCTCTTTCATGATAAGCAGGACTGGTCTTTTCAATTTGAATGAGCTATTTTAATTCTGGGAACGTTTACAGTCGCCTTTGTCTGAACTGGGAAAACGGGCAAAACACTTTTTCAAAAATCATAACTTGAAAAACCTTTGCCTAAACTTCCCTAAATTTGGGAAACAGCAAGAGAAGACTGTCTGCTACAACTGTCCCAGACTTGGTGCTGATCCAAAGCTCAGTTTAAAAGTGAATATTTTTTTTTTTGGTTTGGGCTTCACCCCTTTTTAGAATTGCCTTACAGAATGTTGAATTGCTCTGCCCACACAAGATCACTGTTGCTCTCTCATTCAGCAATAACAATGTGCAAACATCTACTGTAGGCCCTTAATTCACAGATAGCCACTTTAACTGTACAAATAGTCATATTGCACTGCAGAACATTGCATGTGTTTTCTAGCTACCATTCTGATTTTCATCCTTCAATTTTGACAATCAGCTAAGAGGATAACATGCTGACTGAGCAGCAAAATTCCAGGGAGATGGGGCGGTGGGCAACTTGGAACAAAACTGGTTAGCCAATCTCTTTCCTCCAGTCCTGAACACATTCTTTCCAGATGATGGTTTTTACTGTGCTTTAACTAGAAAATGGAAACATCATTAACTGCAGGGAAAAAACATGTAAAGAACATTACTGAGGCACAGAACACAGGAAACCGAGATTAAGGATTGCCAAGGCCAATATATTTTTAATGCATGGACAGGAATGAAAGGAGGAACATCAAAACACGACAAAGCTATGCTGGCTTTACACTTCATGTTTCCTGTATTGTTAAAGCCAAAGGTCACATGATTGCAGTTAATGTTTGTGGCATTTTCTGCTTCACTGAATGCTTGGTGAAGCAAGAATGCTGTATTCAAGGATCAAAATGTTGCCTTTTCTTTTTTCTTTTTAACTCAAGGTTCTCCGATTACTTTTCCTCTGCTCTCCCCTTTGTCATCCTATTGTCTGCAAGGGTCAACTGTTTTACCATGAGCAGTAACATTTCCTTTCCAGCAACAATTAAGGTACATAAACTGATTTACAGAGTGATTGTACATCTGTATCGAACTAGGTCCAACATGGTTTAAAGGCAGGTGCTTCTTGGCAGTTCTGCAATCTATACTTCTTTACTCTAGAGAAAGGAACAACTGAACGGCATTAGGTACTCCCATTGAAGTCAATGTTTACTGCAGAGTTAATGTGTATGATTCTATTATTACTAGGGAACAAGTACTATTGAACATGGGAGGGTATAGGCTGCCATTCAGCTCACTTTTCTTTTTGTGCACCACTTACAATATGCTATATATATATAAGGATGGGGCTAAAGCAACCGATGCATTCTTGAATCTCAGGTTCTTAAGTAGAGACCCCACTGTATTGAAGATTCAGCTCACTTCTCTTTTTGTGCACCACTTACAATATGCTATATATATATAAGGATGGGGCTAAAGCAACCGATGCATTCTTGAATCTCAGGAACTGGAGGAACAGGAAATAGTATGACCCAACCTTTGTCTTGGAGCACACGTCTTTAGTTTAGTTCCATAAAAATGATAACCACTTGCTGCAGTTGACTGCTACAGCCAGGCTGCTGTGATGGGTTTTCCTATTCTCCTTTATGTTCCATTACCTCATTGGGTTAGTTTTGTTTTCTTTCCCATCTCCACTATGACTCCCAGTTGGGTCTTCCTTTCCCTAAATATTGCTTGCACTTCTGCAGAACTTGGAATTTACCTGATCTTACAACTGTATTTCTCTGGCACAGATTATCCTATTTCAGCTCCATAAAGCTCCACGCAGACAATAAATTCACTGTTGGTATTAAAGATGTCTAGGCAATGTGTGGGCCTTCTAATGGGGTGGGGGGGTTACAACCCCTCCATCAGCCCTGTAGTTCAAAAATGGCCAGAGGAACACAGTTGCCCACCTTTAGTACAGGTCGATAGTAGCTGCAACACATCCCCTGCTCCAGCTCCAGTTGTATGAACCAGTCATTAAGGACAGGGCAAAGAGAAGCAACACCACCTTCTGAAACTAGCTCCAAGGGTGCAAAGATGGGGGAGAATTTGTTTCCAAGTCCCCACTTACCCACATCAATATAAAAGAAGGAACACCTCAGACTTGAAGGGAATGGCCTTCACCTTCTCATAAAAAGGAAAGCATGTTCATCTGGAGGTACCTCAGGAGACCACAATAGATAAACAGCTTGCCTTGACTCTTCTACCCACCCTGGCAGTGCTCTCAAAAATATACTGAATGCTAGTCTTGGAAGAAACCCTTTTTTCCTCTTCTGTCTAACTTTCCTAGCTTTTAGCTAGAACACTCAATAAGCTTCCTCTTTGCTCTGAGTGAAAAGTTACTGTTCAGCTTTTTTAAAGCTGCGGAAAGATCCTTGGCTTGGTACATTCAACCACATGATGTGAAACCACTATTTTTAAAGGGGAAAATACAGTTGTTCCAGTGCCATGTTGCAACATAAATATCTCAGAAGCATTTAAAAGGCCATGCTGTGAAAGCAAACAATATTAAACGTTTTCATATTCCTTCCTTCCAAATCCACTAAAACAGCTTTATCATCACCCAGATTGCCACTAGATGGCGATCAGATACTACCATGCTTGACTGGGGAGGGGTGACTCACTTCAAAAACAAGAGTCCTGTGGCACCTTAAAATTAACAGACATTTTTACTGCTACTCATTTCTTTCTCTAGTCACTTCCTACAGTTCAGAACTGACTGCAAGACAGCAGGAGAAGAAAATCCTCAGAAGACATAATTTATTTATTTTATTAGACTTATATACGTACCACCCATCTAGAACATGTCTACTTTGAGTGGGATACAAAAATTACAAAAAACCCAAAGATACAAATCTAATAAATGAAAACATTAATGATTTAAAAACTAAGGCCCAATTTTGCTACAAAAATCCAAGATGGGACAAAAGGAAAAGAAGAGGTAAAGCTAAGTAATGGCTGTTGGGAAGGCTGCATAAACACCATTATAAACAGAATGGTGTTTATGAATTCCACCCAGTTATACTCAATATTTTATTAATATCAAAGAGTACATTACAGTCAATTTTTATTTCAATACATTTCAACTATGTTTAAATCATATTTCAGTCTCTACTCTTTTTAAATCCATCTATTTTTGCTGATGCTAAACAATTGAACTATTTATTATTTTCAAATCCAATAATGGTGAGTTCTCTTTCAAGACAATTTTCATAGCCTCTGCTGTTGCTTTTCTGCCCACATACACCACCGCCATTTTCTTTCAAGTGTATTTTCAGTTCTCCTTTCACACAGTCTCTAATTCCCTTTTCTTTCACTTGTGCAATCTCAGTTCCCTCTCAAAAATCAGATGAAACCATTTCCGTTTGCTTCTCAGGTTTTTCTTCAAATTCCTGAATTTCCCTTAAATCATTGAATAGTTTATTAAATTTCACTCAACTCTTTCAATTCTGCTGCTACAGGTTTTCGATTAAGCCTGCAATCTGGTATGAATAACGTGGTCCTCTTAAGGATTGCTTCTCAGATGAATCTGTTCACCACTTCACTTGCTAGCTGGGAAGTACAGGGAGCTTGTAGAAACTTAAGTGCTACTAATACCCCTCATCTGTCCTTCATATTGGTTTTTAATCTCTGGAAATTTATTTATTTATTTGATTTATTTGATTTATCCCCCGCCCATCTGGCCTAAAAGGCCACTCTAGGCGGCTAATGACTAACAAGAATAACCTGCCCCTGAGGAGAAGCCCCCAAGCCTGTCTCCTTTATGCATCCATGATCAACTCAAGTAGGTGCTCTCAGTCAACTTTATATGAACAGAAAAGAAGGCAATCTTTTTGAAGCTTAGCGTTTTTAAAGTGCTCTGCAACTTCAAAAGTCTGAACAGTAATCCTGCCATATAGCAGTTGCATCAGATATTTTGAAAGTTTAGGAAACTATGTCATTTCGATCATGGAGTGGGGAACTGTGGCACTTCACACTTTAGGGCCTGTGAGTCCCAGCAAGCCTTAACCAGTATAGACAGGACTGAGGATTATGGGGGCGATTCTATGTTCATGGGGAAGGTGCAACATTTCCATAATGCTCTTCCTTCAGTGAGCTGAAGGCAAAGGGGAAAAAAGTGTGCTGCTTATATACTGCCCGCCCCATAGTGCTTAAAGCATTGTCTTGGTGGCATACGATTTAATTATGCAGGCTACATACTGACCATTCCAGAAAACTGGCTACTCAGATATCCAGAAAAACAGACTAAGCAGCAAAGACAATGTATCAGGGGGCAGACTCTTGATTAAAAGTGCAAAATATAATTCCAATTCCTTATTTATTCCCTATGAGTGAATTTCCACTTGATACAGTTCTGCTCTACCTATTCTAGGAATGAAGAACTTACTGCCCTCTAGATGGTATCTTATTCTGGCAATTCAAAAAAGCCTTAACTTGAAAGTGTGAGGAAAGTTTTGACTCCACCCCTTCCTGTTGCTTTGGGAAGAGAGAGTATCTTCAACAGGAAGGTCTCTGCCACAAGTGGAATCTC